CCAATTTTCTTTACAAGTTGACCTAAGTGAACAACAATGCAGATTTCATAATGTAACTTGTTCAACCTCTATTCTTAAAGAAATTCAACCACAAAGTTTATAAACTTATGTACCTATCTAGCAATATTTGTTAATATTTTATATTTGATAATATTTTATGTAATCTTTATTAAAAATATATTTACACGTTATTATCTTAAATGGATTATTATTTAGTATATTATCAATTTATTTTTATTTTGTAGGTTTATATAAAGAGACTCAATGAGTAAATTTCATAATATCATTCATTTATTACTTTCACAATTTTTTTATTATATTTCTAATATTGACTTGAACATTAAAATATCTTTTTTATATATATATATATATATATATATATATATATATATATATATATATATATATCCATCAAACGTCAGACAAACTTATAGTAAACACTTCCATATCCTATAATTAAGTACAATCAAATATAAATTATATTAAAAAAATAAAAATATGTAGATATTATACATAATTTTTAAGTAATATGTAAATTATGAAATGACTTTTACAATTTGTCAGTCAAACAATGGTATTTAGTAGGGATGACAATTAAATTCGTACTCGTGGGGATCGACTCATCCCCTCGAGTTTGACTGAAAAACCCGAGTTAACCAGGGGTGAGGGCGAGTTCGGGTTTTCTCCGCTTTAAAAAGTCAGTGGGCGGGGACGGGGATGGGTAATGCAATCCCCATCTCGACCCCAACCCCAACCTCGTCCTCTCCCCGACTTTATATTTAAATTTAAAATTTAAAATATTAATACTTTAGATGTATTTTCTTTTCTTTTTCTATTACATATAAGGTTACTTTTTTATATTTCAACAATTTTTATTTTTCTTCTACCTACTTTTAATTTTTTGTCTTTTTTAATCTTTTATATCAATTAATTTATTACATTATTCTCTCTCTTACCTTTCTGTTTTTTTACATTTCCTTAATTTCTCCCATCAATTTATTTATTTTTTTAATCTTTTCAATCAATTTGATGAATACAAAATATTTTTTTTCTTCTTTATCTTTTTCTAAATATTTTACATAAATCCTAGTAGTAACTAATATTATTTTATTTATAATTTATATTTATTAGGTTTTATTATGTCATATTTTTTGATCTTATTATTCTTATTTATCATATATCAAATTTTATCTTAATAAAATAATTGTATTTTAAAGGATTAAAAGAAATTGATAATTTAAACTTTTATTACTTCGAACTAATTAAATAATAATTAACTTATTAAATATTTTATTATAAACTATATATTTCATATTTTTAAATGACAACTTAAAAATAAATTAACTTATATATATATATATATATATAATTAAATGTTTGAATACAATATTATAATAATAATGTTATAAGTTTTCAAATATTTGAATATAATAATAATAATAATAATAATGTTATAAATATTCTCTCATCTATATATATATAAATAAAAAACAATTAAATATTTTTTTACATACATATTTTAATATAAATATATTAAAATAAAATATATATTTAATTAATAATAATTATAAATTATAAAATGATAAATATTTATTTATATATAAAAAATACATAATAAAATTAATTTATTATAAATGTAATTATCTTTTTAAAAATAATATAGGTTGAGGACGAGACGGAGGCGAAAACTCGAAATCCAGCAAGAACGGGAATGTGGACTTAATTTTTAACGTCACGGGATCGGGATGGGGACGAGAATAATTAAAAAAGTCGGAGACGGAAATCGGAGAGACAAACCCGTCTCTACCCCGTTGTCATACCTAATTTAAACCTTATAACGTTATAAAATAATAAGTAGAATAATATTTAGGTAATATTTCAAGACAACAATAAAATAAAAAAAGAAGTTTAATTTTAATTTTGATACAATACTAAGTTCTAACGTAAAACTAATCCAATTAATATAAATCATACCACATAATGTTATACGTGATATAATACTTCAGACCGACAAACATGGTATACTTTATATTTTTTAGAAAGTTTTATATTAAAAGATTTAGTTCAAACAAATTATTAGTAGCACATGGATTTAAAACATCTTTAACCATATTTTACTTTGGTGTCGAATACAAACGTGCTCTATTATTAGGTATTAATCTAGTAATGAGATACGACGTCGTATTGTTTTCAGTAAAAAGAAATGTTACGACGTCCAATCATTTCCAACCGACCAAAGAGATACACAGAAAATTTGATTTATTTTCCATAAAATCAAATAATTTAAATTTATTAAATTCAGCGAGAATGTAAGTTTTTTTTTGTTTTTGAAAATGTATTTAACCTCGTAAAGAATCTTAATCATTCTTTAAATCAATAATGTCCACTTAAAATATTTGCTGACTCCATTCGCGTGTGACTCGAGCTGCGTTTATGTCCATTAAAAAAAAGTTAAAATATTCATATAGCTATTGTATTTATCATGTTGAGGATCGATCTTTAAATAAATGAATTATTTGACTATTTTATAATGTCACATACATTTAAATACCGTATGAAAAAATTTAATCAAACATTAAGACTACTGATCAGAATATTTAATTTTATAGTTTCAATATTTAACCTATATATTAATACTTCATTTTTTCCATTAAAATCTTCTCGTTAATATTATTTAATTATGGTTTGATATTTAATATATATATATATATATATATATTTTTTTTCTTGTTCATATTATAATATTAATAAAATGATAAATGTTCATTTTAAGGATAATAAATATCAATATATGTAATATCGTTAAGGTAGTTAGAATCAATTTTATATTTAAAATATTATTTATTTTATAATTTTAGTATGTCATAATTTTGTTCTTGTCTTGATAAATTAGAATAAAATATTGTATATCAATTATTTTTTACTGACTCAGTCAATAATGCGAGACTCAAGAAAAATAAAATATTCTTACCATAACTTTCATCTTTTAAATAAATTTTATATTTTTATTAAAACTCAAATTAAGTCTTAAGTACATAAATTACATTATATTTAAATAATAACACATAAAACAAATTATATTTTAATGATAATATATATAAAAATATTTTAGGGATTTAAGTTTTAAAATTAAATTAAAACTTTATACATTTTTAAGACTAATGGTATTTTTTTTTTAAATTTAGGCAATCATTACTTATACAAGTTACGTGTTTGTGTTTGCGTAAATAATGTGTTCAATAGTAAATTTTATTAAGTAGGATACTCTAAGTTGAAACAACTTGAGAGTAAAAATAATTTATATACATTTTTTTATTTACTCATAAAAATAATTTTTTGGAACAAAATAATGACCTAATTCCAAAGGACTTATATTGATTGAAAAAGGACTTATATAACTTATTTGCTTATATTTTCTTAATCAACAATTAGAAGTAAAATATAACTTTTCAATTTTAACCCAAAAATGAAACCCTAAAGAGTGGAATCACATGATGCATTATGTATTTTTAAGAAGACATGTGTGATGAATATAAAAAATCTGGGTTGTCAATAAAAGTGGGCTACAACACGAGAAATAAAGTTAGAAAGAGCAAGAATTGGAGTCTTGTTCTGATTATTGGTGGGGTTCGTTTTCAAGATGGTAGCTTGGGACCACAGCTTTTATGTTTCGGACGATGCGCGGAATCACGTTTGAGTGGGTGAGATGAGACAATAGATATTCCATCATTGATTCACTCTGAATATTGACCACCAAATCAACCAATAGTTATCACAAAATGTGACCTTATAAGAAGAGTAAAGGAAAATATTTATTAATCAATAACTTAAAAAAAGAGAGTGGGGCATTACACATCTTAAATTTTTTTTTTTAAGGTTTATTTTAACACAAAACTAAAATGCAGTTTAATAAATAGTTTGTTTTTTCTCTAATTAACTTTATAATATATTAGTTTTTCTTTATCGGTCATCTTTTAACTTTATCACGTAGTTTAATAAAACTATTTTAATGATTTTCTTAATATATATATATATATATATATATATATATATATATATATATATATATATAACGAGAAATATTCACTCATTCGTTTTTTTTTATTATTATCTTTATTTTGTTTTTATTATTTTTTTCTTATGTGAAATTATGTAGCATGAATTCACTTCTCATTATCACTAAAGTAAAAGACATGATGAATATTATTAGATTTTTTATGGTATTAGAACAAGTTGAATATCAGTTTACTTATACTATTCTACTCTATTTCTTAATTACTTTTTTTTATCCATTCTCTCTCTCTTTTTTTTTTTTTTTTTTTTTGTCTTTCTTCACTTATCTTTGTGGTTGGAGAAGCTTTGAAAGATCCTTTAAAGGATTCCTATAATTTATCAAGTCTATATTAACTTCATCATGGTAAAAAACAAGATTTAAATCTTGTTAGCTTTGAGCTCATTGGTGAGAATTATTATTCTTGGAGTTGAGCAATGAAAAGAGTTGTACTTTCCAATAATAAATAGAAATTTATTTATGAGAGTATCGCAATCCATCTTCCTAATGATGTGTTGTGCTGCATGAATCTTGGGAAGGATATAATGTGATGGTGATCTCTTAGATTACAAGAGTTGTTCGTACTCACATTGGTCAAAATATTATCTACATTGATATTGCAAAAGATTTATGAAATAACTTGAAAGAGAGATTTTCCAAAAGTGATCCTTTTAAGATATTAGATCTTTTGCAAGAAATTTATTCTATCAACACAAAGTGAAAGAAACATTACTAAATACTTTATTGACATCAACATTTTGTGGGAATAACTATTTATTCTTAGAGACATTTATTCTATTATAAAAACTTAAATCCTTCTTATGGAACCATTAGCAACTATAAATAGTGTATATTCCTTAGTTATGAAGTATGGGAGACAACTTATAAGGAGCATATATATCGACAATAAATCCTTCGTGAATGTTGTCAACCATCAAAGCCAAACTAAATGAAAATTCAAGTTGGACGAGGTAATATGAGTAACTAAAATTGTAAGGAAAAGGCAGAGGAAGAAAATTCAAACTTTAGAATTATTATAATAAGATGAATCACACAATTGAGGAATGTTACTCTAAGCATGGATACTTATCATAGTAGAAGCAAAGAAATAAATACAATATAAATAACTCCATTGTTGAAGGGAGTTTTACAAAAAAAATTGTTGATAATAAACTTGTAGACACCAGATAAAGTACTCAACAAAATTTTTAATTGGGAAACATGCAGTTTCCACAAGAGTAAATGAGTCAAATTCTTAGAATACCTCAAAATTTCAAGATGAAATACAGTGAAAAGGTAATTGGCGAGTCTCTTCTAATAAAAATAAATAAGATAAACATAAAATTTAAGCTAAATTCTTGATAGGGAAACCACTAATTATGTCACTTATTCTAAAACACACTTCATAAATTACTATAACTTTTTTATTGATTTAAAAGTAAAGATGATTATGAAATAAAAATTAATTTGTAATGTTAGTAATTAATTAATAATTAAAACTATGGTTGGTATATTATTTGAGTTTATTTATAGCTTTTTATTTTCCTGTTAGTTGAAAAAATTGTTTTGCATTATTTATTAAGCATGTTGAAAAAAATTGTTTTGCATTATTTATTAAGCATGTCTTGAAATATTCATCGAGTTTCTTTTTTCTATTTCTAAATGAGAAAATATTTTATTAGATTAATTTTCTTTATCCATTCATAATATTATTAATTTTAATATTTTTTTATATAAAGTAAGTTATTCTAATTTTTAATATTTTACTAAATACTAAATAAGACAATAACAGTGAGAAAAAATAAATTTTAATTGTTTAGATGCTATATTTTTTACAATAGCTATTGTATTATTTATATATTTATTTTATCTTTTAGATCATTAATACTTTGAGATATTGGTATTAACAGATGATAGACTTATTTTTTTTATTCTATTTAAATATTTCTATATCATAAGGTGTAATTTAACCATGACATTTTAGATTGTTATTAGTATTATACTTAGTTTTTTCTTAAACTATTACATTAAAAACGATGATGAATTTACTTTAGTTTTAATAAAAATATGATATAGTATAAGATTAATAATAAATACATTATGAAAGTAAATATATAACAATTGAAATTAAAGTAAATGTATTTAAAATAATTTGTATATAAGTTAGTTTATGTAATAGCCAAACTTAATATAAGTTTAAGAATAAAAGTGAATTCGATAAAATGTAAAATTTTACTACCTAATTTAAAATAGAAATCCTAATATTTAATCTTTACTTATTTTCCTTTGTCTTTTCTTTAAGGTATTTTTTCTTTAAATCTAAACACGTCCTAGTGCTTTTGATGGGAAAATATCATTTTCATCCTATCAAAATTACAAATAGAGTAAGTTTCTTGTGTCCTTTTTAAGAGTATTTTTGCATGTGGGTCCTAGGGTCATTGCATGTATAGATTATTAGGCAAAAATGAATCTTAACTAGGTTAAGAATATTGTGGCATTTAATTTGTTGACTGAAATTTTTTATGAGCATTAACTACTTAGAAAAGTTTGCAGAGTTTGATATTTGTGTAACTTTGAGAGTGGAAGTTTATCGCTTAAGCAACAAGACTTCTAGATTTGGGTAGGTTTTATGTTAATTCTCTCAAGTGAGAAAGTTTGACGAATGTTCTAGTGGGATGAAGAGACTTTGTTATATTTCTTGCTCAAGATACTAGTTCTTTGAGTGAGAGAGTTCTCGTTTAAGCAAGAAAATTTTAGAATGAAAAAAACTAAAAGGGATCCTACTTTAATGAGGATAATTTGCTCAATCGAGAATAATTCACTCAAGCAGGAATCCTTAATGAAAAATATGAACTTTTGGATGATTTTATTTTTACTTGATGATCATAACTTTTTAACTTACATTTGAATGTATAATATATGTATGTATGTTGGAATCAAACGTACGAGGCTTTGTGTTGAGAAAATGTGGATGATGAAAGTTATTCCTATATATATGAATATGGTATGATGTGTGTTCACGTTGAATTAAGAATTTAATAAGAGATATTTTAATTCTATTGATAACCAAAAATATATAGATAAAGGGATCAAGGGGTGATAATTGAAAGTGATTTCTGTGACTTAACATATGTTGTGAAAAAAATTGTGTTTGGTAAGTCATAGGAATTTACTCTATCACATGAGAGTATGTATCAACTTAAGTACTCTTGTATTAAGCACTTGGAAAATTGTAGTGTGATAAATGCAAATATCTGAGTTTGAATTCAATGTTTAGTCTTTCAAAAATTTGAAGCAATTATGTATTTATGTGATGGTAAATGTGTATGTACGTTGGTGTCTTATGACATTTTTAATCCATATGATTTATTTTAAATTACTAATTTGCTGTGGGTGTTATTGTGTGTAAATTTTAGTGCGACAATATTATCTTTATATAAGAGCAAATGATACAAATGGTAAATCTTCTTAGAGCTAAGTTTGAAGCTGCTGTAGGATCACTTTATTTTCTTTAGTTTAGTTTCTTTGCCTTGGGTTAGGAGCTGCTATAAGATCACTTTATTTTCTTGGGTTAGGAGCTGTTATAAGATCACTTTATTTTATTTAGTTTAGTTTCTTTGCCTATATATTAGAAAACTATAGATATACACATTATATATGTTATGTATATAAATTTGAGGCTATACTAAAGTAGGTTGTCTCTTAGGTTGATATGAGGAAAGTTGGTTTACTATGCTTAATTGTGTGTTTGTTTGATTTAAATTGTTATTTTTTGTGATGGCTTGAGGAAATCTAAGTTAAAAATATTCTAATCCTTATTTCATAACCAATTTCATTGTACTATCTAGGATGACCCCTTGATCTCTTACCCCATCTTCTCACCCTTCTTAGATGAGATAGATTGTTATAGTCAGTACCCTGAAACACAAGTATGACCATGACTCAATAGTAGAGTATGATCATGAGCTAACAACACCAGGCTACATGCTTCAACTATAGATAATTAGGGCAACAAAAACTCTAAGACATATAAGATTGATTGAGTTTTTAGGCATGACCTTTTAAATTTAGTAATCATTATATCCTTAACCAGTTTTACTAGTTGATCATGAAATTAGAGAAGATCTTTAGGACAACTTTTTATTATAATACATACCTACTAGTTGAGGAGACCGAGTTTTAGTAGATGGACATGCATGATGGAGGATATGTATGAGGTTTTTGGAGAAATACTTTTTTAATAGTGTTATATTTGTGATATTTTATATTTATAATATTTATTATAGTTTCTTATGATAATTTTTGCTATTATTATAATTATTGTTTTTTTTTTGAAAAAATTATCATTATTAATGAATTTTATATGTTTTTCGCGTTAAGCGTAATTTATAATTTTTGCAATGGTTGAGGTAGTCCTAAAAATAATACAAATTTTAAAATATAAAGTTGAATTATTATTTGCCTACCACTCATTATGACAAATAGCATATCAGTCCTCCTATGACGAATCAATTCTTCAAGATGTAGGAACCAAGTTTAACATTTTCATTTTATTTATCTAAATAGAACTTTTATCTTAAAAAATCAAATTCCAAATGAAAAATTGTGCACCATGAAACACTCAGAATTCGATTTTTAGGACCAAATTTTGAACTATGATTTTAATTTTTTTTCCGGATATTATAATATATATATATATATATATATATATATATATTTATTTGTATAATTAGGTATTAATATATTTAGATATTTATATAATGTATATTTATATAATTATATATTTAGATGTTTATGTATTTACATATTTCTATACATTTATACATTTATACATTTATATATTTAAATATTGATATAATTGTATATTTATATATATATATATATATATTTATATAATTAAATAAGTATATATTTATATAATTAGATATTAATATATGTAGATATTTATATATTAACATATTTTAATATTTATATATTCTAAATATTTATGTGTTTAAATATTTATATAATTGTATATATTTATATATTTATATATTTAAATATTTGTGTATTTATATACATATATTAAAAATTATTAAAATTATTTTATTTATTATGGTTAAATAATATTAAAAAAATTTGATTTACACTTATTTTATTTGTTAAAAATAATATTACAATATTAAACAACACTTACAACAAGATATTAGAATATAATAAAAAAAAATACATAGTTGAAAAATTATTTATTAAAATATTATGAACATGATACATGAAATATCCATTCATGTGATATCCATTTTTATTCGTATACAACTTGACTTTAGATAATATTTTAAAGTTCTCTTTATTTATGGATTTGGGCTTAAAATTAGTTCCATGTAAGATGACTAATAATTTTTATTTCTTAGTTATTCGAAAAGTCCATTGCAGACCTTAATGACATGTGCTAAGGTATATACATGATTTATGTAATTGGTAAAAACATGATGTGCATGTTTACAATCAGCAATTACGTGTGAACACAGTAAATGGTGTTTTTGAAACTTACTACCATCACACCATGATTCATTTAGTCTTACTACAAATCAACATATTAGTCTGACTTCTCTTGGATTAACGATTACCTTTACCAAAAATTGTGTACTCATTTGGTCAAAGTCAATCATTTTATGAGTGTTTATCTTTGAATATGCGTCCTCTAAAATATTGATTACCACTTTAAACTATATGTATCCAACAATAATCATGACGACCACATTCCAACCTCTTTTAGTGAAAAACTTATTACAATATATATAAGTTTTCATCACCAAGGAAAATAGGAAGATTCCTTGTCTTTTTCAAGATAGGAAGTTGGTGGTCATATGTTCCTAACGTCAACCCCCAAGTCAGTGTTTACTTCTCCCTTAAGATCTCATCATAATACAAAGTAGACTAATCTATTATGGGAGCGTTTTGTTTGCCAAATACACTACATGACATCTATGAATTTAAGTTTGCTCACATCAAATATTAACCCACTCATCTTGTCTATCAACTTATTTGTTCAACTTTTGTTTCTTCTTTTTACTATTAAAATGGAGGAACTTAACATCACAAAGACTGCAAAATTTGATAACTTTTATCTTATAGTTGTTTGCAAACTATCAAATCACAACAAATGAAGAATATGTATACTTTCAATGTGCATCTCCTAAACTTTTTCGAATTCCATACAATTGCACATTCATCACTTTGAGTGAAAGATTATGCATTTCTTTAGGGATTCCCAAAGACACCTCAATCAACAGGTTGTATTACCGTAAACTAAAACTAACAGGTGATGATTTAATTATATACAATGTTATTGAAATATTTTATGCATATTGATGAATCTAAAATGATTACTTGGAAGTCACAATTTCCTTTCAATACTATCATTGAATTATATATTAAATATATAATATCGATTGATGAAATAATAATGTTTCTAAACCTATTTCTACCTCTTCCACAAACCAAAACACCATCCCTTTTTCTAAAGCTATAATTTACTTTGGTAGTCAATGTGCAACCATTATAAAACATCCAAATAAGTTTAGTTTTACTTATACATGTTATAACACAGGAACAATAGTAATCTAACGCACATGATCTTTCGCTCAACTATTTGAAAACATTACTAATGTACTTAACTATGAAGATCACAAACAAATAACTAAACTCAACTATCATTATTTAATTTGAGTCTAAAACCAAACATACAATATGAACAAACATAAGTAAAGATTAAATTGTTTATTCAAACTAAGATTATATAAAGGCCAACATATGAGAAAATGATTTACAATTTATAAGATAATACATACATTAATAAACACATAATAACAAAGTCTAAATTTGACTTACGACTTACACCAAGATGATTTTTCAATTATGATTTACAATATGATTTTTTAATTACTTTTTATCATGTATTATTTTTAATTTAATTATGTTTAAATTAGTATATATTATTTCAATTATGTATCTTTAATATATATATATATATATATATATATATATATATATATATATATATATATATATATTACATGGCGAAGGAAAAAAAAATTCAAAATCACGTATCAGAATAGGATCTCTCGAAAAGCAAAGAAATAAAATGGGAGTGGATCCATTTCAGTAAATATTTATTTTTAAACATTATTTTAGAAAAAAAATCGCACCATTGCTACATACAGCCATCTGAAAAAACAGTATGTTATGTTCCTCTTTCCAACCAAGGCTACTGCACTAAGAAGAACCACAAAAAGGACCTTTTAGGTGGCAACCATCAACCCTTAAAAATGGTCTGAAGGCTCTCAAAAACACATTCCTCATAATTGCAGATTGAACCCGCAGTTGCAGTTGCATCATAATGGGTTTTGAAGTCTCCGACTCTGAGACTACGATTATAATATAAAACTGTGCAAAAATTAAATAGGCAAAACTAAATTTATTAAGCTATTCCAGGAAGGGAAAAGTAGCGAAAAAAAAAAAAAACAATTTATTCCACGACTAATGATGACAATTGACAGCATAAGTTTGCTGAAATTCAGAAAATAAAGGAGCTAACTCCTCTCAACGCAGATATTAGCAAACCCTTGATCTTAGCCTATGCGAAGCTTTATATACGAGAATAAGAAATGGCATTTCTAATCTGCATGTCATAGCAACTACCGTTAGTGCCTCTATTGGGATAGCATTTGTCAAAAACTTCACTCACATCATACCACAGAAACCTGTTGTCTCCAACAGTACCGCTTTAATTTGTTCTGGGGCAGCATCCTGGCCTTCCCGGTATAGCTGACAAGAAACATGACTATATATCAAAGCAAAACTTAAGACAGCTACAAGGAATAATGGAGCCAAAATTTAAAGATGTAAAACTGAGTACCGAACAGCCCGAGGGAGTAGTAAAAAGCCTTATGATAGTACATAGTTCAATCAAACAGAGGGAGAGGAAGATAGAGCTGAGTCCGCTAGATTATAGTGTCATGCTTCCATCGAATTATGTTTTAGAACTAGGAGTGCTTTGCTGAGTTCATGTACAATGGTTTTGAGAAGTGGGACTAAGTACTCAAACTGTTATTAAGCATATCTCCACTAACAATGTTATTGCTACCAAAGCTCCCTGTCTTTCGTTTCATCCTAACCATGGTACAATGTGCTATTGCCCAAACAAAAACAATGGCCCACAATACTAGAAACAAAGAAATTAAAAAGGAAACATTTGCGTAAAACACAGCCATGGTAAAAGAAAGCGACATACCTCAGCTCTGAACACATCTAAAGCAAAACCATCGAAACAGCTGATAACAGCCTGCTGAACATCCAATCCAAGGTTATCCAATGTCCTCATGATAGAAAATAAAAGACCTGGTCTGCGGGCACAAAACATATGGATATCGACAGCTCTCCCTTCCCTTAGCCTAACCTCCACCTATAAGTTTCAGAAAAACTCAAGTCAAGTCAAAACAATTTCATCAGTTGCACTATCGCATTCTGTGAACCAACAAGTGCATGCTGAATATAATTTTTTCTTATTGGTTTGTACATTGGTCATTGAAATACTATTGTTAGTAGGTATGCCCACCCTAAACATTTCTCTCAAGTTGATATCAAAACTGGTAAGATTTTCCACTGATTTTTTTTGTCACCAGTCATCTTCGGCCATGTCTCATATATACCTAAATATCTTTATGATTCAGATTCTTCTCCACTTTTGTTGACCTATTGCTATGAGAAAAAGCACTCACTCTACTTATAATCCTTTTCCTATTTATAATTTATTTTGCTATCATTGTTTGTCTCCTTCATATTCTTCTATTGTTCATGAGATCATACATGACGACAAATCATGATTGATGAAATACAAACTATTAAACACAATGACACTTGGGAATTTGTTCCTCTTCCTCTTGGTAAATAGACTATGAGCTGTCAATGGGTCTATACAATTAAGGTTGGTCCTAATGGTGAAGTAAATCGTCTCAAAACTCATTTAGTAGCTAAAGACTATACTCAGACTTATGGTCTTCATTTTTCTCCTATAGCTAAGGTTTTTCCTTGTTCGACTCTTTCTTGCAATGATTATTATTCGTCATTGCCACTTCACCAACTTGACATTAAGAATGTCTTTCTTCATGGTAACTTTGAGGAAGAGATTTATATGAAACAATTACCTGAGTTTGTTGTTCAGGAGGAGTCTGGTTTACTGTATAAACTACATCAGTCTTTTTATGGCTTTAAACAATCATTCTAGGCTTGGTTTGGTAAATTTAATCATATTGTACTGATGTTTTGCTCGGAAAAGAGTTAGGCAGACCATTCAATGTTTCATTGTCATACTTTTTCAATGAGATGTGTTTATCTTATGACTTATGTTAATAATATTGTTATTACATGCAACTATTCCACTAAGATTAGTCAATTGAAGAAACATCTATGTGGTTACTTTCAAACAAAAAATCTTGGTTATTTGAAGAATTCCCTTAGTATTGAAGTGGCTCAATCAAAGGAAGGTGTTATCATCTCACAAAGGATATGCTCTTGATATTTTGAAGGAGACTGGTTTGACAAATTGCAATCCCATTAATAATCTGATGGATCCAAATAAAAAATTAATGGGAGATAGAGATGAAATTTTCTCAAATCTAGAGAGATAAAGGAGGTTGGTGGAAAAACTCATCTATCTCACCATTACTAAATCAGATCTCTCTTATCTAGTTGCAGTGATTAGTCAATTTATACAAAATCCTAGCATTGATTATTGGAATACTTTGATTCACATTCTCAGATATGTAAAAGGAGCTCCAAGACAACGATACTAGCATTGATTGTTGTATGAAGACAAAGGTAATAATACTTAAATCTTAGGATATTATGATACATATTGGGTTGGTTGTCTCATGATAGAAGATCTACTATTAGGTATTGTGTATTTATTGGAGGGAATATAATTTCTTGGAAGAGTAAGAAACAAAGTATCGTTGCTTGATCTAATGCAAAAATTGAATACAGAGAGAAGTTGTTATCCAAGGAACTCATTACTTAGTTTGTGAGCTCCAATGAGCATCTCGTAGACATTCTACCTAAATCTCTAAAAGAACCTAGGATTCAGTTTATATATTTTAAACTTGGTGCATACAATCTATATGTTTCAACTTAACGGAAAATGTTAAGATATGTTTTATTTTTAATTTTTCAGATGTACGTTCCTAGGTTTAGGTTAAGGCCTAACCTCTTTTTGTATCCTCTCCCATATATAAATATAACAATACCAGTGTCATATGACACTGTATTTTCACCCTAAACATTTCTATCAAGTTCAACCTTATGTCAAAAATAAAAACATAACATACCTCAACCATGTTAATTGTCTATACATTAACAAGTGAAATGCATGTCATTTCCATGCTTTTATGCATTAAAAATCAGTTATAAAGGCAATACTATTCAATTATCACATGGTCAAATAGATCTTCTATATTTTACATATTTAATGGAGTAAAAAAAAAAAAAGACAATGACAAAAAGAAACAAAAATGATGATAGGTGTCAAAAGACCAAAGCCATCAAAACGATAACCTTGTGTCAGATAAGGAAATTTTATAGGATAATTCATTTTCATAGATGATTTAAAATGTTTTATAGCAAAATATATTGTTTGGATAGAGAATTTTGACAAAAAGTAAAATTCTACAATTTTATGAATGTAATTTAATTATTTAAAATTGTAAACTTTAAAATTCCATCTAAAAATATAAATTTTTAATTCTTCATACTCTCGCTCTCTAACATTAAATATTTAATCAACTAATGTTTGATAATAAAATTTCAATTTTTTTATTTACAAATATATAGTAGAAATTTTGTACTATAGAAAGTGAGAATTTGAAATTTAAAACAAAGCATTTAAAGATATATGCCTGAAATATGCAGACTCTGAAGATCAATATTTTTGGCAGGTAGACACTATATGATTTAATTCATCCAAAAAAAATAAATAAATAAATAAATAAAGGAGATATCTATTCAAATTCAGTGTTCGTTACCATTACCAAGTTAGAAGCAACACGCGACTATTGGTCGCTATCAGTGGAGCTATCAGGGCCTATTTGTCTATCTAGTTTGCAGGTGAAAAAATATGAATCCAATAAGGGGATTCAGAAGAGTCAGAACAATCATTTGGCTTATAGTCTAATCCAAATGAGTTAAACCACCTAAATGAAAAAGTAAACGTGAGGGGAGTAAGGCGTGGCCACTGAGTCATTAAATATACTTAATAAGCCACTAAGTAAATTGTCCAGTATCCAAATAGTAAAAAGCACTAAGGAAAATTTTTTGGGCCTGGCACATCAAATGACAAGGAAGAAAAACAATTTTGCACTGTGACAGACAAATACCTTTGCTGATTGGTCTTTAGGACTTAGCAGAGTGGTAGCACATAGTTCTTCCTTCACCTGGCAGGGAAGGGTAGGCATGTTGCAGGTAGCATCAATTGTCCTGTGACGAAGGTCAGGTGGGCCGAGTCACAATTGAATCGTGGCGCTTGGGCTGTTAAAGGAAAAAGAGTTGCGCTCTGACTAATGGCTATAGCTTTTGGCCTAGTGGTAAGCGCTCGATCCTAACAATTGGTATCAGAGCCAAGGTCACGAGTTCGATTCCTGGTGGGCAATTGTTGAGGGGGAGATTGTTGCAGGTTGCACAATTGTCCCGTGGCAGAGGCCGGGTGGGCCAAGTCACAATCCAAGAGTGGGATACCTTGTAGGACAATTGCTGAGGGGGAGATTGTTGCAGGTAGCATCAATTGTCCTGTGATGAAGGTCAGGTGGGCCGAGTCACAATTGAATCGTGGCGCTTGGGCTGTTAAAGTAAAAAGAGTTGCGCTCTGACTAATGGCTATAGCTTTTGGCCTAGTGGTAAGCGCTCGATCCTAACAAGGCACAGTGGCTGTCACAGGGTGAAAGCTGGCAGCAGGTGGAAGAGATGAGCCACGCGTGCTTGAGTCTAGTTCATTATGAAGATCATTAATCCGCTGTAGTAACTCCCTCAGGTAGTCAATGGCATCCCCAAGAATTGAAGCCCTATCCATCTACCAAAACACAAAAGAAAATCAGCTTCTACCATCCCAAACACATCAAGGGAGAAAATTATTAATGCCAATAACCAAATCAACAACAACCAAGCCAAACCAACACATACAGCTTAAATTTCAGATTCATAAAAACCACCACCAATTAAGATTATTCACACATAAACAACCATAATTCACCTCACAGATATTTTACATGTCTAAATACATTTTAATAATTCTAAATAACTAGAGGTGGCAAAGCAGATTATGGGGCTCATTGCGGGCAGTGGTTACAGTGAGCTACGACACATAAATCCCATACTCAATTGAGCTTCTAAAACATGCCAAAGTCCAGTGAAAGCCACAATTTTCAATCCAGATTTAATTCAGGCTCGAGATAGCTCAAGCCTTGCATAGTGTAATATGCTCGATCCAGATAATCCATTTTGCCATCTTTACACACAAGCAACTACTCCTAACTCAACAAAGCATGAACCATCATTAGATTTAATTCACAAGAAATAAAACATGCTTGAATCCAAAATTTTCAAACCTTGCTAATCTTGGGCACAATAGACCTAAGCATGTACAACCTATCATTCAATTTCTTCCTCCGCCTCCTCTCAGCCATGAGATTCTTCGCCGGCATCCCCTTCTTCTTTCCTTTCTGATCTTCACCACCACCACCAACACCAACACCACCATTCTGATTTTCATGATCATCATCGTTATCATTTGCATCAAAGCCATTCTCCAACAACTTCCCATCCTCATCAGACTCATAACTCAAACCTTCCTCATTCTCTCTCTTCCTCCTCCCGGGAGGCGGCGGAAGCTCCGATTCCTCCAAATTCCCTGCCTCCCGCCACCGCTCCATCCGCTTCCGATACCGAGTAGGCGGAGAAAGCTTGTAAAGAGACCGCAGCGCGGTCCTGTCATGCTTCTCATCCCGAGGCACCCCGCCACCAAGTGGACTTGCCGGAAACGCCGCGTTCAAACTGGGCGCATTCGCCGATAACCCCGCGAGGAAACAACTCTGAGCACCGCATTCAAACCCACTGTCGAGAAAACCGTTCCCGTTGGCGTCGAAGAAGGAGGAGAAACTCGGCTTCTGCGGCACCACAAGGTGTTGCTCCGGCAACGAAGAAGAAGAGTCCAAAGGGTTTAATAAAAACGCGTCGTTTAGGAGAAACTCGTGGTGAGAATGATCCAAGTACCAGTCACCATCCACCATTGTTTGGAAAGAAGGTAAGAGAACGCCAGTCCCCGTTACGACGTCGCTTTGTTGGGGTTCCAACCAGGGAACGCCCAAAGTGTGAGTTAAAGTTTTAGTCGGAAGCATTTGGAGAAGGTGTTCACGACAAAGTGAAAGATTTAGTTACAGAGACAGAAAATGGGGTAAAATTTGAAGGTTATGGAATGTGGTTTATCTGAGTATCTGTCGGTTTTAACTTTTCAGACAATTCTGGCGTGGCATATATTTTATGATCAACAAATAATGATAGATTATTTTATTTTTACTTCATAGTCAAAAGTAATTTTGATAACGAATATTAATTCTGTAACATATTATTTATTTTAAAAAAATTTAATATTTTAAAAAAATAATATCAAAATAAAAACTTTCTCTTTTAGAGAGATTAAAAATATATTTAATTTAAAAAACAATTACACTGTTTATTTAATTTACTATCATTATTTTTTCTAAAACGAATTAATTTTATTTCTAATATGATAAGAAACGGTGTAAATATTAAAAAAATGATAAAAAACGTAAAAATTTATTAAAAGCAACACATGATTAAGAATTTTACTCCTTATTTATTAGTCTCCCAAAGTCAACAAAGTACAGCATAATTATTAGATGACTAAATTCGTTAGACATGTATTTATAAAATTAAATTTCTTGTATATGAGCATTTAATATGAATGAAAGATTCAAACTATAAATATTAATTGATTTGGCTGGTTAATCATATTTAAATACTATAAAAAAATGCAAATATAGAATGAATTTTAAATTGATAATAAATCAATATTTGAAGATGATTAATGATTTATAATTTATTAGTCACGGTTAAAGGTAAATTACACGTTCTGTATTATTTACTCCATAACAAGTTTAATATTCATTTAATAATTCAAGTGATATACCATTTTCTCTTTTGATATAACTTGTTAATCATGGTGATTTTCTTGAATGATAAAAATGTGTTTTGAAAATAAATGTAAACGATGCAGTGATGTTTATTTAAAAAGAAAAACTATTATTTACTATCTTCTTAAACTTAATTTTTTTTTCATTATTAGTGAATAAACAGAGAATTAAAAAGTGTAATTACGGGAAACTTATATTTATAACCTATGTAACAACAATAAATAGTAAATAAAATAACTTAATAAATAGTGACTTTTATCACTGTTTAAGAGGTGTACAAAGATTACGAAGGTTTATCTTAGAAGTGATAAAATTTAGTAAATGATAGATTGAAGGATGTGGTAAAAATATATATGCAAACTAATTGCTAGTTAGAATATGTAAAAGATGAATGAGAACATTAGTGAGTTTATGTCTAATAAGATGATAAATATGATTAAATATATTTAAGAAAGATGTGACTTGAGTTTGTAAATTTTTGTTGAAATTTAATCAATTAATTGAATATTTTTCTAATAATCAAATTAAAAAAAGAGTTTGAGATGTGTTAAGATTTTAAGAATATAAAGACCAATAAGAGAAAGATGAGAACATAAAAATTTTATACTGGTTCAATTCCTTTAATTTATATCTAGTTATTCAAACAACAATTTTAACTAAAACTTTTCAATATCCATATTACAACATAACCTGTAGATCTTGAATAACAATACATCATAATCAAGATCTAAGAAAAATTATAACACTTAAAAATGCTAACCACACAATTTTAAGTTATCTTAATGTTATTCATCTCGCTAATATTAATATACAACAAAGATTTACAAAATGAAAATATAAGAAAGAATTTACTTGAACTTTGAAATACAAAATCCTATAGCCAAACAATTTCACCTTTGAATTTGATTTTCTCAAGATGTTATATAGATTCAAAATGTTGTCTTGATGCCCATTAAAACTTTTTTTACAATGTTTTGATCGTTTATCAAGATGTGTTTAATTGATGACTTTTTTTTTTCTTTTAAAAAGTTGAAATATGTTATTACAACTTATTCAAATAATCGATTAACAAAAAATTTAGTCGATTATTTGTGTGTAGTAACATATTGAAAGTAAGCAATATATTTAATTAGGTATAACATAATCGATTATTAGCAGGTGGTGTTAAAACATAAGATGTAATCACATAATCGATTATTAGTGCATAATATCAAAACATGAATTTAAGTCATATACTTGATTAAGTATTAATATAATGTATTATTACATATTTAATTGATTAAGCTTTAACATAATTGATCAATTGTTTTATCTCTTTACTTTTTTTATTTTAAACATGGATTAAATCATTTGACTTTAATAATAACTACTCACACTCAACTACTTAGATATCTATTAGGATATCATCAAAAATAATTCTTCAACAATTCTTCATTTTTCATTAACCATTTCACTTTTTTTTTATGATGGTCAACCAACATTTTTTAGCAACCTACAATGCAACCCAACAATGAACTCTTCCCCCTTTGGGCTTAATAAAAAAGGTTAAATATAGAGTGGAAGTGAAATAGTACAACCAATTTAAGTGCAAATGTGTAATCAAATAATAAAGGATTCAAGGAGTATAGAGTATCAAAGTTATAGACCAGCAAATCAATATGTCAAATATTACAAACCAACAAATGAATTGTTTAAGTAGGACATAACACATTATTAAAAAAAAATTTAAACAACAATCATTCATCATCATTTGAGGATAGTTCAAGAGTCTCGACATCTTCATCATTACTTCCTTCATCTTCCATTTTTGTTCCACCTTATTCTTGTTGTAATGTGGACAAAATAAAGGATATTTTTTTCATCCAAATTATCAAATCTGAAGTAGTAATATTCATGATTCTCCTTTTTCCAAAGATATATATTATCTAATTTCTCTAACATACTCTGTTCAAAAGTAGTACATTTACTTCTAGTAGAGGAAGCAGGAATGTATGCATTTATGGGTTCTACTCCTTCATCGACAAATTCTTCCTCATCTTTGAAGAACTAACTATCATCTCTTTTCACCATTCCCATATTTGTGACGCTTTAAAGGATGAACATTGAATTTCTGCTATACATGATGAGCTAAATCAATTTGTTAGAAATGATTTTTGGATGCTTGTTTGTATGGTCAAAAACATGAATATAATAAGTACGAAATGAGTTTTCAAAAATAAAATGGATGAGCTAGGATTATCACTATAAATAAAGGCAACTTTGTAGCTAAAGGGTATAATCAAGAAAAAGGGATAGACTTTGATGAAACTTATACCCTTATAGCTAGTTTAGAGACAATAAGATTACTTCTTGCATATGTTTATATGAGTGGTTTTAAGCCTTTTCATATGGACGTTGAAAATGCCTTTCTAAATGGTTTTATCAATGGAGAAATTTATGTATCTCAACCTCTTGACTTTGAGGATAATGAACATCAATACCATGTACACAAGTTGAAGAAAACTTTATATGAATTGAAATAACTTTCAAGACAATGATATGAAAGACTTAACAACTTTCTTATATCTCAAAAATATGAGACGAAAAAAGTTGATAGGACTCTTTTTATTATAAAATTTTAGAATGACATTATTCTTGTACAAATCTATGTGGATGGCATAATTTTTGGTGCCACTAATGGTTGCCTATGTGAAAAGTTTGTATCAGCAGGGGGAGTTTAAGATGTCTATGATGGGAGAAGTGACTTACTTCTTAGGTCTCCAATTTAATCAATTGAAGCATGGTACCTTCTTAAATTAATCTAAGTACTACACAAAACTATTAAAGAAGTTCAAGATGAAAATTGCAAAGAAGTAGCTACACCTATGTTTACAAACTGATACTTGGACTTAGATGAAAAATGGACTACAATTAACACAAATAAGTTCTGAGGCCTTATTGGATAACTATTATATTTGGAAACTATTAGGCTTGACACCATGTTTAATGTTTGTATGTGTGCTAGATACCAATCAAATCACAAAGAGTCACACTACGATGCTACAAAGAGAGTTACTTGAAAGAAACTATCAATGTTGGATTGTTGTATCCAGGTGATGTTTCTCTAAATTTGGCTAGATTCATTGACTCTAAATTTGCAGGTTGTAAGCTTGACATGAAAAATACAAGTGGTATTTTTCATCTTCTTGGAAGCATCTTGCTATCTTAGCATAGTAAGAAGCAAGCATTGTTGCTCTATCAACAACTAAGGACGAGTATATATTTGTTAGGAGTTGTGCTCATATTCTTTGGTTAAATAAACATAGTAGTTATTGGATTTTGGTTTTCAATTGGATAAGGTACCATTTATGTGTGATAATACAAGCACTATAAACATAACCAAAAACCCAATTCAACTTTGACGAACCAAACACATTGAAAGTAAACATCATTTCACAAGAGATCACATGATGAAAGGTGATTATGAAATAAAACTCATTGAATCTGCAAATCAATTGGTTGATTTGTTTACTAAACCATTAGCTATAGATATGTTTAATTATCTAAGAACTGAACTTGGAATTCTTGATTACTCCAATGTTATACAAATCTTTTTAGTTTTTCTTCTCATTTTGTTTTGTTTTAATAGTTTAATTTGTTAAATAATCAATTAAATGCCCATTTCTAAACATTGTATTTATATTTCTTCTTTGCTTTAATAGATTCATTTATCAAATAAATCAATTAAATATAAATATTGTTGTTTTCTATAATACCTCTTAGACTTTCAATCGATTCAGTTTTTTCAATCTATTAGAAGTTTGTATATTTTTAGTTGTTTTTCTATGACTCATGGTAATTGTACTTGATGCATGTGATGACTGTTTTGAGTTTATTGTGATTGTATGTTTTTAAGAACATAAACATGTAAGAATTGATGAAGTCAATCTGAGTTGAGTTAAGTGACAAGATTTGATGAAGTCAGAAGTGTTATAGTTTATTTTTTGTGTGTGTGTTTATGTGTGAGTCTAATGTATAGAGGTCAAGCCTTGTGAAGGCGATTTGTTAATAGTGGAGCAGATGTTAGGCCAAGTCCAAAATAACTTTGACAGTTACTAAAGAGAAAACATTTTTCATACCCACTGCCTCATTAATAACAAGTTATGTTCACTAATCATTGATGAAGAAGTTTAGTGAACATGGCT